AATATGCTTGTCTGTATATTACCAACAGGTAAGGGCGCTAAAAAAGGGGAAAAAAGTAAAAGGCAGAGGGGAAGGGAAAGACACTAAGTAAAAAGGAGAACAATTAGAAGGGGATTTGGACAAAAATATAAATTAAAACATACCCAGAGCCCTGGCTGGTTTTTCTCCATGGTTAGGGCATCGGCCCAGAGAGCAAAGGGTCTCAGGTTCAATTCCCGATCAAGGGCACGTACCTCGGCTGCAGGTTCGACCCCCAGCCCATGGGAGAGTGCCTCTCTCACATCGATGTCTCCCTCTCCCTCTCCCCTCCCTTCCACTCTCTCTAAAAAATCAATGGAAACAATATCTTCGGGTGAGGGTTAAAAATATATATATATATATACAGAAAACTGAGGGCATGGAGAAAGAACCAAAAACACTCAGGCGGCTTTGCAATGAGTGTCGTGGGCCCTGGGTGATGTGTCCAGTGTCACCAATAATCTACACTAAACGCTAATAAATGTGTTCTGTCTATCTCATCAAGGAGCTTTACTCCACCTGAGCAGTTAAAAATGCAGCAGGAACATGACACAACAGCACAGTTCTGATAAAGTTACACAAAAGGCATTTAAAAGGTGATGCCATCAATAAATAGAGCACAATTTGTATACTGAAGTGAGCATTGCTCTCCAAAGTTGTCACAAGCAAAGGAATTATGTGAGATTTAGAGCATGATTAACCCGGGTCCAAATCCCGATGCCGTGAATAAGTAGCCATGTGACTTGAGACAAGTTCCTAATTCCTCTGAACCTCAATTTCCCTATCTGTGACACGGAAATATTATTACCTCTCTCACAGGGCGATTCTGAGGATTAAATGAGACCATATACATGGAAATGACTAGCCCAGCACGAGTTACAAAGTAATTCTTCATTAGATATTGTTTTTCTTTCCTCCTGTTCTAATAATGCCATCATTGCCTAGCATAGTTTTGCGACACAATTTTTGAGTTACTGGCCAGATGAGAAGAGTGGTCCAGATGGAGGGAAGAGCATATGCAAAGGCAGAGACAGGGACGACAGGAAATAGGCCTCTTTTAAGGACTGCTGGGACACAGAGTCGAGTTTAGAGGTGATGGGGGGAGGGCAAGAGGGGGTCAGAAAGACAGGAGAGGGAGACAGGGACATAATCAGGAAGGACCTTTCATCCATGCTAAGGAACTGAGTCTTTGTCTTCTAGGCACTGGAGAGCCATTTGCGGGCTGTCAGTGGAAGAGTGACAGGGTCAGATTTCTCCTTTGGAAAGAATATTCTGATGGTTGACTGCACTGTGCCACTCCAGGGACACTGTTAACACAGAATGTCACCAGAAGCAAGACATGGACTAGAAAAATACGACGACTCCAAAATCTAAATACCACACCTGAAAACACTAGTGTGGTTACAGTGTCCTAAGAAGTACATAGAGCGAGAATGGAACCTGGGGACACCAATATTTACTTAAGGGACAGGCAGGGCAAGAAGACACCCTAAAAGAGGATATGGCCAAAGGGAACCAAATGTGGCAGATATGGATTGAAAAGTATCCACTGAGGCCTAGCCGGGTGGCTCAGTTGGTTGGAGCGTCATCCTGTGCACCAAAAGGTTGCAGGTTTGGTTCCCAGTCAGGTCACATACCAAGCTTGTGGGTTCTATCCCCAGTGGGGGCGCGTATGGGAGGCAACTGATCAATGTTTCTCTCTCACATAGATGTTCCCCTCTCTCTCTCTCTCCACCCCCCACCCCTTCCTCTCTGTAAAATCAATAAAAAAAAATATACCCTCTACTAAGGATTTAAAAAAAAAAAGAATGAATGAATGAAAAGTATCCATTGAATTGAATAACTGACCTTGTCAACAGCAGGTTCAATCAAATGATGGGACAGAAACCAAATTATACTAAGCGTATTCTAAAGTGGAGACAGAGGCTGCAAGTGTGAGAATGGTGTAAACTGAAGAGAGACAGGGCAGTAAATAAATGGGGATACACGGTTGAGAGATGACTCGTTTGAACAAGGAAGAGTCTGACAAATGGGGGACAGGAAGTAGGAGACAAGATTAAAGACCATAAGATGCCATAGCTCACCCATTAGGATGGCACTATCAAAAAAACAGAAAATAATTAGTGTTGGTGAGGATGTGTAATAACTGGAGCCCTTGTGCAGTTGGGATATAAAATGGGACAGCAGATATGGAAAATAGTATGAAGGTTCCTCAAAAACATTAAAAACACGCCTATGATCCAGCAATCCCACTTCTGAGCATATACCCAAAGGAATTGAAAACAAGACCTCAAAGACACAGCAGCATACCCTGCCCAGTTCACTGTATTAGCATCATTCACAATAGCCACGAGGTGGAAGCAACCCCAATATCCATCAGCAGGTGAACGGGTAGAGGAAATGTGGTATATACGTATAACAAATACTCTTCAGCCTTAAAAAAGAAGGAAACCCTGCCATGTGCCACAACCTGGATGAACCTTAAGGACATTATACTAAATAAAATAAGCCAGTCACAAAAGACAAATACCACGTGACTTCATTTATACGAGGAATCTAAAGCAGTCAAACTAACAGAAACAGAAAGTAGGAAGGTGGGTGCCAGGGGCTGGGGGGCAGGAAACGGGGAGTTGTTCAGTGGGTGGAGAGTTTCAGTTTTGCAAGATGAAAAAGTTCTGGAGATCTAGTGCGTAACAATGCGAATGTACTTGATCCCACTGAACTGTGTACTTAAACAATGATTAAGATGTTAAATTTTATCCATGATACCAAAGCTAGATTTAATACCTGATCTAACTGCAGTTTCAACCTCTCCCAGGAACGTAATCAACCAGTCTGGAAGTTTCTGGTCAAGAACCAGTCATCTGTCACACGGTCCTCTCCAGCCGACAGAGATAGAAGAGGCGGGATTAAGCCTTCCCATTCTCTTCCCACAAAAAAAATCCTGGACCAAGAAGAGCCCTTCCTTTTGTTCATAGCTCCCTCACCCCACCCTTCCTCCCATGGAAATCCTTTCATTTTACACAACCCCTCAGTGCGCCCTTCTAGTTGTTGGATGGGATGCTGTCTGATTCATGAATCTCTGAATGAAGCCAATTAGATCTTCAAATTTACTTGGCTGAAATTTGTTTTTGTTTTTAAACAGAGTCTTTCCCTGAGGACTCAAGTATAGTTAGAAAAGGGAGGAAAAGGCAAACATCATGCTTCACCCTCCATTTGTTAAAACCTCTCCTCCGCCCTTTTCTTTTTTATATATTACCAATTTTAAGCTTCTTGGGTCTGATCTTTATATACCAGCTAATGGCATTCAAGTGCTCAGTGCTGAGGATACTTAGAAAGGGGGGGAATGTTACATCTTCTCTACAGCTGCAAGAAACGAGACGCGTTGCTGCATAAAATTATCCCTGCCGGTGGTGAGCTGAGAACGTTCACAGCGTCAGTACGAGTCTCCTTTCTAATGGGGAGACTTCATTACAAAGCCTAGTTGCTCTGTCTTCAGTCTGACAAGCAGTCATTGAAGGCACCTGGGTTGCAGAGAGAATTGCTATCTAAGATGTAGCCCTTAATCCCCCAAAAGCCTGTTAAGTGATTGGCTCTCTTAATAGCCTGTGTCATTTTTATGCAAAAACTCTATTTATTTAAATCTTATTACCATATTAAATCAGAGAGGAGCTCAGGCACCTTCTCCTCCCTCCAAGCCGGAAGGCTAATAAAACCCCAGACTCTGTTGAATTCCTTATTCAAACAAAAGGTTTGAAAGTCTTTGTCTCATTCAAATTAATAGAGGCTAAAATGACAGATAAGGAAAGTCACAGGGGTTGGAGGAAGCAGATTCAGTAGGTGTCCAGCAACCAGGGTGATAACAGATCAGAGGCTACAGTAAGAAACTGAAGGAGGAAAACCCCAAGGAGACCTAAGTTCCAGTCCCTGTCTACTATTAACTTGGCAGGTGACTTCCCTCTCTCCAGTCTGGGCTTCGGTTTCTTCCCCTTCCCATCTCGCTGAGACAGGCCAGTAAGCCAGAACAAGCGGAATAGGGAAACTGAGGCAGATAACTAAACAAACTGGCCGAGCAACTTACAGCACAAGTCACCTCCCTACAGATAACTTCTAGGCCTCGGTTGTATTTCAGCTCCAGACCCAGAAAAGTAGCAAAACCAAGTGGGTGATACCAGGACTAATGACCCCCTGCCCTGACATTTACCAGTCGGTGACCTGGAGGAGCACACCTAAAACAATTGGTGAATATTCTGCTGAAACCCACTCCTGAGACCTCCCCTAAGATTCCCGCCTGCAAGAAAGAGATAAAGCCTCAAGGCAAAGGACCCAGCCCGTGCTCTCTCTCTGGGGAGCACACCCCACCCTGCCATTCCCTTTCCCTTTTTCTTCCCCCTCTTCTTCCCCCACAGGCACGCATCTCCTAAACCCTAAAGGACCCCCCAACACTTGCAACCACGGGAGCAATGGGCAGCAGCTCATACCAGGCTAACCCCTGAAACTGATCCCAAGGCCCCCTTTTCTCTGACTGCCCAGAGAGCCAGGGCAGCCCAGCCTGGGCTCTCCTGTTGCCTTTTCTCTGCTAAGCCCTTTCTAGTTTTACTGTCCCAGCTTTAATAAATGTTCCCTCATAGTCATCTGGACTCGTGCTGTGAATTTTTCCTGCATGAAGTCAAGGAATTTTTCTGCACTATCAGCTGGCCCTAGGCAGACCCGCTCAGGGCCAGCTCCCCTTCCCAGTAACATCATGACTATAATCTGTATCCTCTGCAGCTGAATCAGTGTTAGCAGCTACGCATAGTTCCATTTTATAGAACTCCTTACAAGAAGCCTTTGCCTTTGTGGTTTCAATACCTATTTTTCTTTCTATACCGCAGTGTTTCATAGAGACAAGCACAGCTGAACAAGGTTCTAACCTCAGGCCCTTTTGGACAATTTGCAGTGGGAGGTGATGGTGGGGTGGGAGGGGGCTCTCAGATATTTACCAGTGTTTCTCATACAGCCAATGGCCTCCCCATGTCAGCAGGCAGATTCCAGCCGTAGTTTTCTTCCAATGATTTCGAAGTGTTTTGAAGAACACAGGCATCTTCTAGAGATTTGCTAGGTTACAGAAGAGACAGAAAAAGAAAAAATACACACGTGATTATCCAAGGGCAGCATGCAGAGTCCCTGCGACTGTCTTCCATTCGTTCACCCTCTCCATGTCCCGCCCCTCGCCCTTTCCCTTTTCCTCCACTGGCCTCTTCCCATCTTCTCCCTTCTAGTCTCATAGTCTTCATCTTCTCACCTGCCCACCCACCTTTTTAAATTTCTTTCTTCACTTCTTTCCACCTAAAGGACACCATTTCCTTCTCGGATCCCTTTTACGTCATCGCATTAGGAGGCAGGAGGGGCAGGAAGAGAAGGGAATTCTAAGCTTCCCGTTTTTCCTTCCTGCTTACAGTCACCACATAAGCAGATTTGTCGGTCTATTATATGTACCAAAAAGACTCGACGTCAAATCAGTAATGTAAAGAGCTTACTCAAAACAGAAAACACTAGACTCTCAAGAGGCGAGTGAGCAGAGATCACAGAAAAGTCAATGAAGAGGAAATGCACATGGTTATGTAAAAATGTTCAACTTCCTGAATATCCAAGACATGCAAATTGCAAAGGACTATCGCTAGTCATCTAGAAAATCAACGAACTTTTTAAAATGCTCACATTCACTGATGAGAAAATGAAATGAGACAGACACCCTCAAACACTCCCACAGGGAAGGTAAAATCAGCCCAACTTCACTAAAAAACAACGGGACAGCACACACACTTATTGTGTGTTTCCTTCACTGCACTTACCACTTGATGATCCTCACATGCGTTTGCAAATTTATTAGCTCATCCCACTGGATGTAAGCTCCATGAGAGGAAGCACTGGGACTGTTCTGGTCACTTCTCTGTCCCCAGTGCTTAAATAAGATCTGGCACAGAATATCCTTGTAATGAGTAACTGTTGAATGTGATGGGGTTCAGGACCTGTTACCCCTAAGTATGTCACCTTGACATAGTATTTTAAGCTGAAGCAGTCTGAGAAACCGGGGAGAAGGGGACAGTCACTCTGACCTCCTCCCCCACCTCACCTACTGGCCTGAAACAGGTTGAAAAACCCACCTGTGAGAGGTGCCCTCTCTACCTAGAGGAGAGAAGCACCCTTCTCACCCAAGGCAAAGGGACGCCAAGAAGAATGCTAACAAGCAGCCCCTGCTAAGTTTCAGATTTAGGACGGTTACCCCTTATGTGATCAGACCCTTCCACTCTTCAGCAAACCCAGCACAAAATACTCAGGTGTGTTTGTTTGTGTCTTCAGTTCCTCTCGAAGGTTACCATGCCACTAAAGCTTATATTAAATAAACGTGCATGCTTTTCTCTTGTTAACCTGTCCTTGTCAGGTTCATTTCCAGACCCAGCCCCGGACCCTAAGAGGGCCAAGGGGAACTCTGTCATCTCTACAGCAAATTTTTCTTCACTAAGGATTTTTGCTGATGTGGAAAAAACTCAAAAGACAATGTTAAGTAAAATCAGCAGGCCACAAAGCTGTATATAATTGGTATTATCCCAATTATGTCCAAACACAAATATAAATGGAAACAATGCCAGTAGAAATAAACACACAAAAATGTAAGTAGCTCCCTCCTGGTTGTGGGCTAATGGGTGGCATTTATTTTATTTATTAAACTGCAATGTATTTTCCAAAATGAATATAAATAACTTCCTAAACAGATAAATATTTAAACAGAATTTTTTTTATGACTATGTGTGCATGTGGTAAATAAACCAAGAAAAAAATATCTGCTTTCACTGAAAATTCTAGTTCTTTTATGACTCCCTATAATCACGAAGACTCGCTTCTTAACATAACTTTAATCAGGCTCCTCTGAGCTTTCTGCTGGAGGAGGTCCAACCTTGGGCTTAGTCCTGTCCTAAGAGAATCCAGTGTGAGCAAGAATCCTGGAAAGTTAGTTTAGCAAAAAAACAAACAAAACCCCACCCTTGGAATCTGACCACCCTGGCCTGACTGTAGCGAGAATTCTGTTGAGTCATTCTAACAAAAGTCCCCCTTACCCATGATATTCTAAGTAATTTTTCACTTACTGACTTCCACCTGCTTCTTGGCTACTAAGCCCCACCAGTCCCGAGCTGAGCCAGGGTTGAGTCCAATCTCCCTCCCCTAGGCCAAGACGCCCATGGCAATGGTCTCCACGTCCACGGAGAAGCCTCTCCCCTGCTCCTTGAATAAAGTCTGCCTCACCATTCTTTAACAAGGGTACTAAAGAATGTTTTTAACGCCACCATCGGTTAAAATTCCTCCCAAGGCAAGAAACATCCTCATCACCAGCAACAATGAGACCAGTGCCAGAAAGCACAGCTTCCCGGGAATTGAGTACAGAAGATTATGTCCAGGCCAGTAGATAATGGAAACCAAAGCACATCTGATGATAGACTGGAGGTGACACAGTGGTGCCCACCAGTCAGGGAAGTCTTCCCAGAAGGTGTGACAGTCACATGGAGCCTTGAGGAAAGAGGAGTTAAAGAGACTGATGTATATAAAGGCATAAGATACCGAAGTGTGTCCAGGAAAACACAAGTAGGTAGTCAGGTATAGATAAAGACCAGCGTAAATATGGGAGAGCACCTGAACAAGGCCTCTCCAATGCTAATGTAAAAGTGGCTAAAATGCTGAGAACTTGTGTAAAATGCAGATCCTTCAGCAACACCCTTGAGATTCTGATTTGCTCTGGTTGGGCTGTCATTGTCATTTTTAACAAGTACACCCGAGTTTCTGACGGTGGTCAGCACTACACCACTCCCTAAGAAACGGTGGTTGGGAGATAGGGAGGGGAAGTTCGGTAAAGATCAGGAAGGACCTTGAATCTAAGCTAGGGACTTTGGATATTATGTTGAAGATAATGGAAACCTTGAAGGAACTTAAGCAAGTGAGTGATGATTATATTTGAACTGTAGAAAGATCACTTTGGGGCAGAATAGAAAATATTCTGGGTTAAGCTGAGCTTGAGACTAAAGAGAGCCAGGAAGTCATTACCATAACCTCTAGTCACCAAAAGGAAGGAAGGAGCAATGGAGATGGAGATAGAGGACGGATTTGGGAGATTTTTATAAAACAGAATGTGGCAGCACTTGGTGATCAATTGATTGTAAGTGGTGAGAGAGGAAGAGCCAAGCCAGGTTTGTACGTGGGTGACTGACTGGATGACGATTTCAGTCATTGGATTCAGAGTGTAGGTTTGTCGAGAAAGGTAGCGTTTGCACTTGAGGACATACTAAGTTTGAGATGCCCGTAAGGCATCCAAGTAGAAACGATCAGTGACGGTCTGGATTTAGCAGATTGAAGCTGGGAAAATTGTTGGGTAGAAGATACAGATTTGGGACTCTAGGCTATGAAGGAGGTCAAGTTTGAGTGCAGATAAAATCACTGGAGGGTAAGGAGGAAGACGAATGCCAATAAGTCCAAGGACAATCTAAGAGTCCCTATGTCTGTTTAAACGCTATNCAATACCAATAAGTCCAAGGACAATCTAAGAGTCCCTATGTCTGTTTAAACGCCATGCATGACCCAGTGAATAATTCGTATATTATAAAAACAGAAAACATACAGGCCACCCAGTATTGCAAAGAGCGCTGGTTCAAGGGTCCTGAGGCCCGGATTCCAGTCCCCGCTTCCTCGCTTAGGGGCAGTGAGAGCCTGGGTAAGTCATTTAGCCTCTGTCCTCATTAATAAAATACGGACATACCCCCCGTCCTGATGAACTCAGGCTGCAAGGATCGCACCTGACAGGGCTGTGAATGCACCTTCCTCTTTAGTAAAAAGGAGGCTGCACCAGGGGCTCTGATGAACGCATCAGGCCTCAGGAGGGCGGCCGACAGGGCTGAGTGCCCTGGGCACACTTTCCTGCAAGCACCCACGTTGCCGTCCTCGCGGGCACTGCGCCGGCTGACCAGGGGCGCCCCTTCCAAGTGCCCACGGAATGCCTCCTGCCTCTCGGGGGAAGGCTCAGTTCTCTGTGTTCTGAGAAAATCTCTCGCCTGAAAAGCAGGGGTTTGGATTTTTTTTTTTTTCCTCCCGAAGACTCTCCAAAATCTAATGGAACTGACCCCTCACCTGAAAGGGGGGCGGGGTCCCCACTAACCGTGCACCCCCGCGGCCAGGTAGTGTCCGTGCTCCTCTAGCCCCCAGAGCCCAGCCACGCACCTGGAATGAATGAACCCATCCCTCCGCCTGAAACTACTCGCCCCGTTTGGCAAAGGGCTTCCGCTGACGCCCAAGGGGCTCAAGTGAGTACGGGTCACACAGGTTTAGCGACAGCGCTGGGACCAGACCCAGGCCAGCCGCCTCCCCCGGTGACCACAGGGACCCCGCCGTCCGCGCCGAGTCAGCCCCCGACGCCGGCGCTGGGCCCTCGCGG